TGGAGTTAGAAGCAGATACTGATGGAGTAGCCCCAGTTGCCCATGGTGATAACCTGTTTGAAAATGCAAACTTCTCTGTCCTCTCCTTCCCTTCCCTCTCCTTTTCTACTCGTTGCTAGTTCATTCTGGGATAACATCCCGAATAAACAACTTGACTTCAAATCTACATCTCAGTTGTGTGTCTGGGTACCCAACGCATGAAAAGTCAAATGATACACTAAGAACATTACAAACAACTTCCCCATGTCATTTGATTTCCTCCTATACTATTATGCTTTGTACCCCAGTGGGTGTATTCTTTCCTGGTACTGTGGGATGTTTTGTGGCTTTTGCCAGTAGCTTAATAAGTAGCTTACCTTGCTACTTTCCTGGCATTCCAGCTGTAATTTGGGATTGTAATTGGTCATAGGATACGGACTCAAATGACTAAAATTCCTCTGGACATGGAATTGATTTATCTAAACATATAATTTGACTTCTTTAAAATATATAGGTATTTAACCATTGAAGTATATATAAATATTAGACATTCATAGGTAACTATTATTGTTGGTTGTGCACCACTTGCTTTATGCATTTGTGCCAGTTAATTTTAATTGTCAAAATTGCTTGGATTAACAGACTCCTTGAGAGGAGATTGGATTATGCAGACCCTATACTCTCAATGGATTTGACCACTAATGTTCATAGGAAGTGGGGCCCAGGGATTCTCTTATTGGTATTCTCTTCTGCTGTGCTTTGCTTCCTGGTTTGCTCTACCATGACCTTTCACGATGATCTTCCTACATTGGAGGCAGCTGACCATCGACTTAACATGTTCATGATGGGGCATAATTCATACATCTTGTTGCTGGGTGGATCTGATTTGAATTTGATTGTTCCTGCCAACTTGAATGATTGGTGGTATAAGCATGACCGTCTCATTGGGTCAGCTTCTCAGGGGTCTTTGATTACAATAATGCAATGAAAGATTTTGGGTTAGCAGACCAGCTGCCATCATATTATGTTCCTCAAAGAAAATATTAAAAAGGTACAAAAATTGTAATACAGCTAATTTGTGGTAGAGGAGTTGTAAATGCATATTATATACACCAGCAATGGGATACTTGTAAGATTTCCATGTTAAAATTTAGAGAATAATTACTGACAAACTGTTCACAAATATATATGTTTCTTTTAATGTAATGAAACAAATTTGCTAATGGTTGTAATAATTTTTAGAATTGGTGTGACATATATTAATATTTATATTTGGGCAATAATTACTTACATTTAAGCAACTACCTAGATTCAAGCCATTTATAGACTTTTTATTAGTTGTATTAGTAAACGGACTGATGAGAGTGATTAGATTTGTTTGTTCCACCAGTGGTACAAAACACTCAATTGGCCAACCGTGCATGAACCACCACTGGTTTAAGCTGGGGCAGGAACATGTTAAATTGCTAAAATTGTGCACCAAATTAAACCTGTCTTCCGTTAAGTTGAGAGTGTCAGGCATTTTGGGCCAGCAATGTAAAAGCTGACTAATATAGTGTGGTGGATTGACAGCTGGTGGTCAACTTGTAACCCCAGCTGAAATATATCAGTGTGGTGCTGGATGTGGAGGGTCTACCTGAGGATTGTTGCTGACAAAATAAGAAAGGACAACTGGAGAGGAAGAAGAGGAGCTGTTGGTTCTCCTGCAGGAGCTTATCGTGCCAGCTTTCCTGATATGAACTCTGCTATTATCCTTGGAGGAGTTTGGGAGCTCGCTAATACTGGGGATAGTTGTACTTTTCGGAGGAGCTCTGGTTTTTGCTTTGAGCATCCTAGAATGGAAAGCCTAGTTCTAGTGCAGATCCCTCAGCCTGCTGGCACAGATCCTTCATCCTGCAGGCATAGACTTTCTAGCTTCCACCACTGACCTTCCCAGTGCATGTCCATGAAACAGATTTGTGTGAGACATTGTCATAGGCTCTAGGCCTCTGGGTGGACTCATTTAGGACA